TATCAACGAGGAATAATCGGATGGAAAAATAATACACTCGCACCCCCTTGGCCTTTTGTCGAGATTTCATCCCTTAAATCAACACTGGCCCTCTCCCTCGGGGAAGATCGTCTGCACAATAGAAAACTGTACACTGTTACAATGCCCCTGTCGTATCACCGAGTTATAGTTGCGTAGTTCACTTTTCAAAAAAACATTCACATACAACACAACGGAGGGGTTACGAATGGTAGATTAAAAATAAAATCGTATTATGGTACGAACATTTTAAAACGTTTGTTATTTGCGCTACTGCAAAAACGTTGAATGAAATAGAAAATTCTGCATGTTACTTACAGGCCGTAAAATAAAAATACATAAACTCGCTGGTTATTCTTTTACATTGAGACATTTTCATAGAAGTTGGTATAATCAAAAAAATATCATCATAACCCTTTTATATTTAATAGTTTAATTTATCATATTAATTATTTCAATTAATTAATCTTTTTATCTAAGATCTTGGTTGAGTTGAGAAAGTTAATTTCACGAACGGGATTCGATCCCACGACCTTCGGCTCAATACGCCGCTGCTCTAACCTCTGAGCTGGCACGTAAAAAGTCACGATAGCTCAAGTGATTAGAGCAGCGGCGTATTGAGCCGAAGGTCGTGGGTTCGAATCCTATCGTGTCACTAAATTTTTCATCTCAACCAAGACCTTAGATAAAAAGAATAATTAATCGATATCATTATAACGTTTAATCAAGTACCATTAATTACGACTTCAATAGAATTTTAGTGTGGACCCAAACAAAACGACAGTTATGTGGGCATTGTAAACAGAGTACAACATATATCCAAAAAGAGCGTAAAAAAAATGAAATAAAACTTCAGAACAGTTAAATACAAATCGAATACACTTAAATGACTGTTTTTGAACAGTTAAATCTAAACAGGTCTCAGGTTTAGAAGAGAACAGTTACAATAAAAAATTAAAGGTGTTACAGTTTAAATAAAATATTTCTAAAGTAAACAAAAGACTAAATCAAAGCCAAACTTACAGAACTAGGTGTTAATGGAATTTTATAATAATTTAAATAGGAGACGAGAGAAGTCAAAACGGCTAATATTGGTTTATAAAATTTACAGAGTTAAACTGAATTTGTCGAGTATTTGAGTTAAATGGATGTTTAGAACAGTTCAACACGAACAAAATGGATTTAAATTTAAATAAGCTCAAATCTGCACATGTTAGAGTTGAGCCTGTCACTACTCGCAGACCTCCGGAAATTTCAGCATTTGTAATGTACAATAAAGTACCAGCAGGCCTTGAGAATAACCCACCGAGGGTGTTGGCAGTCCCGGAGCAGAACTTCCAGCCGCGAAGGTCGGGCTCCAGGGGCTATCAACAGGTAGGTCAATTCAGTTCCTAGGTTCAAGCACATATATACTCTTACTCATTCTTAAATACATTATCTCCTATTTACATACCATTCACGGTATGTACGTACATTTAAGGTGGTGAAGAAATGTCGATTTCTACTGTATAACTAACCTAATTGAGGGTCGATGTAGTACTCAATATTCCGCCATTGACCATCTCACGTTAATAAATACATTAATAATATATCTATACATATGGTGTATCAACTTCTATAGTCGACCCATTTAATTCGGAAACGAATAGCAGAAAATGGTCTTACACAAATCCCAAGTTAATTTTGACTAGGAATCGCAGATTTAACATAACTTTCTCATCTAGCTAGGAAATGACACTAACTTTGTTATTTTATTCCTCACATATCACTTTTTACACCTATTATATAACTAACCTGATTGAACTGGAGTACTCAATATTCCGCTATCTACCCTCTCACTCTACATCAGGGGTGCTCAATCGGTCGATCGCGATCGACCAGTCGATCGCGAGTGCTTTTTGAGTAGATCTCGAGAAGAAAAAATTTTTTAATAAGTAGGTAGGTAACTAAACTACAAAAATGTATTACGTAATAAAATAACACTGCTTGCGGCTGTCAGCTGAACACACTGATTTAGTTCTTCACACGGACNGCTGCCTCTCAGAGTCGATCGTAAGTAGTCTAAAAATATTGAGGTAGATCGCCAGCAGTTCAAGTTTGAGCACCCCTGCTCTACATATTCTCGCTAATAAATACATTCACTATCAACGCACCATAGGTACACAAAACTATCATTACTATATACAATGAAACAACCCTGTTCCATCAAAAATCGGAACAGGGAGTCCAGACATTCGATTCTCATAACAAGTGGTTAACTTCCACGATCTCTTTACAGAACCGAGGAATTGCATCCCTCAATTAGGTGGGACACGTCGAGCAACCTTTCTCTACGTGTCGGTCACATACGCCCAGCTTTGGCTCAAAAGTAAACATCAGTGTATGAACCTCGCATGGCCTATCCTTAATCGGGTGAGGATGACCCTTCTTGTACGGTTCAGTTCTTTTCATCGCGTTTTTATTGCATTTTTAGAGTTAGAGGGGCGAATCGCGGTGGTTATGTCCGCCCTTTCGTTGACCTCCAGACTTACGTGTCTAGGTACCCAGACAACCATCACCGTTTTGTCGAGACGCCCCAGGCTCGTGGTATCTCTCCAACAAGAATAGAAAAAGTTAAAGCAGGTTGTTTGGAACTGTTGAACAGTTAAACTTCTATATCTCAGCATTTTATTTAAAAAAAAGTATTTTGTTCGCCGTTTTCGAGATACTATTATCTTTATTTGTTGATTTTATTATAATATTTTTTTCCTAAATAAATCAATAAACGTGCAGTGGCATATCTATGATAATTTTGTCCTAAAAACGACCAAAATATTGCTTTTTTTTTGTTGCTAAAATCAATGTGATTCAGTATATTAAATGGTAACCTCTGCAATCTTCGGTAAGTTAGTTCAGTATATATAATTAGATATCCACGCTCCCATAACGACCCCCGGATGCTTAATATTAATGCATTCGGCCCAAGGTGTATTTTATTACACGTAGAAACCATGTTCCCGAGATTGTTTATTAAAAAAAAGAGAGAAGAAGAAAAACCGTGCAGCCTGTTTCGCTTTTATGGGTAGGGTGGAGAAAAATTAGAAACGTGAAGAAAAAAAAATTAAAATATTATGCTGATGCAGGAATAACTTTTCACTCAGTAAGGGTGGGGGTTAAGAGATCGATCCTTCCATTTACAGATTGAGCATGATGAATTTTTTTTGTTATGTTTAAGGGCGTAACAATAGTCGTCGCCTTTTGTTGCCAATTAAAGCCGGCTAAGACGCGATACCAATAAACATTTGACGGCCGTTCACTTTTATTACGAGGCGGGGAAATATTAATTAGGACCCACAAGGGGCTTTAATGAGCCCTTTTAATGAGCACACAAGGGAACGGGGATTTATTGTGCTTTTACCAGAGACGATATTCGACTCACTTATTGCCGGTATCCAATTACCATCAAACCAGAAGGAATGATTTACTATCTTAAATTTTACCCCACAATTTATTTAATTTATAAAATCTTACTAAGTTACTATGGTCGACTTAGCACTGTTATAAAGTAACCTCGTGAGATTTCAAAAATCGTGTTCAACTACACCACGTGAAGTGTTAAAATGCAGACTGAACAAATTGTCGATCAGACGTTTCATTTTTGCTGCAGTTATAAAACATCTTGCGTGCTCTAATCAAGTTGAACGTTGAAGACCTACTTTTTTTTATAAAACTTCTTAAAATAGATGAACATTTTGTACAGTTACTCCAGTTGGAACATCTTGTTTGTTAAATTAGTAAAGAAATGGTAAACAAATAACAAAAAGAACCTTTCAAATGTAACTCAGATACACTTCTCATCATAAAATAATAATAAAAAGAAGAAGCAGGTAATTTACAATTCAGATGGTATCAGTATTTAGCCGGTTACAGTGTAGGTGTTCGACAGGGCAACAAATGGCTGATGTTAAAGATGGTTCCAAAACGCATCTGACCGCCTCAACCAAGAAAATGACGAAATAGAGTCCACATCAAAACATCAAAAAGTAGTTTGAAAAACAAAATAATTTAATAGTTATTAAATTCGCTAGTTTTCGTGGTCCGCTTGACCAATTAATATATTTCAATTAATTAAGAGTTTTAGTTGAGATAATGGCAAGAAGGAGGGAAAATTCAAAAGGTGGGGTTGAGATGGGAAGTTAGTGTCCGAGTGGATCGAAGTCACGATAGTTCAAGTGGTAGCGGCGTATCTGGCCGAAGGTCGTGGGTTCGAATCCCGCTCGTGACGCTCACTTTTTTATCTCGACTAAAAAACTTTAATAGTTATTATTAAATATTTTAATGTAATACATTCGAAATCATGTAGTACTTTAACAGGTCTAAGAAAATTTGCTCCTTTTACATTCTGAATGAGAGTAAATTTACCTTTTATCAGGAAACATTAAAGAATAAGTCTGTTGCTTATAGGATTGACAGCAACTGTTAAACAAGATTCGACACGAGTTGGGTGTTGCAAGTTTCCATAAATGGTTTTCAGAAGAGGGTCGGGGAAGTCGTCCAAAAAGGGAAATCGTCAGGAGAAGCGGCTAATTAACCCCTTTCAACCCTCTTTATAACTAATTCAAAATTTAATTATAATTTTTACCAGGTTGAGGGGAGACGGAGAAATAGAGGGATAAGATGTTTGCTACAGTTTTCATTAAGAAGGAAGAGAGAAGGTTAATCTGTTAAACATTGGATTGTGCCCTCCTCCCCGACACCCCCTTTCGGCTGGAGTTAATAAGAAAACTGAATTCTCCCTTCTCGGTAACGTCTTATTAGCCCTAAAGGAACCGAGGACCTTTTATTACGCCCTTTCTTAAAACAACACTCGTCCTAAGGGAACCTATGTGCGGAGGTCGCCGGCTCATCCGTAACTCTTCTTAGGCTAAACATACAAGAAGAAATTATTGGGAAAACGACTTGATACTTGATACAAAAAATACTAGTTAATAATGATAACGTACTTTCTTGTATATATTCGATTGCTGCTTTGTAAATGCCATCTATAAAGAAATAAACTAATATTAGACACTCATAGCAACCAAAAGAGCAAAATTTCTGCATTACTATTCCCAAACTGAATCTTCTCTGATAATATATTGAAATAAATTCAAAAGTTGTATAATGGATAAAAATATCACATGCCTATCATTTTAATTTTTTGAAAGAAAAAAAATGTTATTTTCATGCGTTCACATTGAAATAATAAATACCTCTCAAATAAAAATTTAGTACAAACACAAAAGATGTTTTTTCACTCATGATTTATCCTTTTTTCATCATAAAATTGCTTTTAGTAAAAACTTGAGGGCTCTTTTAATTTTAGGCTCTTTTAAAATAATCAAAAAATCTTCTTAATTTTTATTTTATAATTATTTTTAATACTTTTTATTTATTCAATTTTATTATGTTGTTTTCATTTCGAAAAATCATGTATAATAAAATTGAATTATCTTTTCTAAGTTTTAACTTTATACAAACAGGGAAAATTGATAAATAATTGGGTTGAGATGAGGAGTTGGTGTCCGAGGGGATCAAAGGCAAGGTGGTTAGAGCAGAGGCGTATTGAGCCGAAGGTCGTGGGTTCGAATCCCGCTCGTGGCACTGACTTTTTTATGTTAACCAATACCTACTCAAAGATTAATTAATTGAAAAGAATTTATTTGGCCTATTGGACCATGAAACCTAATAGATTTAATTAACAAATTGAAGTATATCGCACTAAAGCTCTCCGTGGCCATTTCATTTGTCGCCTAGAATCAAATAGATTACACGATATTTGAAAAACGACAAAAAGGAGAGAAAATCCAAAAGGTGGGGTTGAGATGAGGAGTCTGAGGGGATCGAAGACACGATAGCTCAAGTGGTTAGAGCAACGGCGTATTTAGCCAAAGGTAGTGGGTTCGAATCCCGCTCGTAACACTAACTTTTTCATCTCAAAAGACCTTAGATAAAAATAATAAGTAATTTATACAAAGCTTTTTTCTCCTGTATGCTAATTAGGGTTTTAACGTAAACGTCAATGCAGTCAAGAAAGTTGACTCGTTTATGTTTGATCTTTATCTGTCTACCTTCGCTTTTTCTGTCTGTTTGACGAATTTCGGCGTTGGCCGGTGCAACGAACACATACAACTTCATCACCCAGCAGACCTCAAGGAGAAATCTCACAAGAAAGTTGGGTTTAAAAAAAAATCCCAACATACTATAAAAAAAAATTGTCTAACGTGATTGATCAAACGACCTGAGGCTCAGGTAGGCGGGAGAATGGTACCGAAAATGAAAAATGAACATTTCGCTATTTCATTACGAAGCCTATTGTCTTGGTAGACGGCGCCTCGGAGTCCATTACCCCAAATGTTTAATTATCCTTCAAGAGGGTGGTTTCCACCCCGTGTGATCTGGTCTGTGTCATAGCCAGAAGGATCGGCTAATGGACCGACCGGGTAGGGAAAAAAAAGAATGAGAGAACGTATATAATCTCGGCCGCATCTATGCCTAGTAATGTTTGCCTAATCCTCCCAGTTGAGTCAACAAGTCGGGATCGATTTGTCCGAGTGACTCACTGTCCGTTCCTATGGATACCCCATCGCCCTAAGGCTATCAATAATATTAAAAATTATTAACTCGGCAGAGCTCAGGTAGAGTCGGTTAATGTAATGAAACTCCCATTTTCTCTTTCTATATTCGGTTACGAGGGGAAGGATTTCCTCCCCCATTGTTAATAATACGAGAGCTTTTGTATACATCCGAAGAAAACGAGGAATTTATTTATTTTATTTTTATTATTTTTGAAATTAATTTGGTTAATATTTCCATAAATAGTATTATTTCATTTTTCGTTCGTTTTTCAGGTAACAACAGCTTTTTAAGAGAAAACAAATATTTTGATTGTTGTTTTTTTGTCGTGTCGCTTACGTTTTAGTATTATTAACATGGATTAAAGTTTATTGATTTAATAGTAACGTAATTTTCCAATTTTTTAAGAGGGTATTTCAACTACGAGGTTATATGAGCTTTCGGGTTGCCGATGTTTTTGAAAAAAAATCCCACTTGTAAGTATATCAGCAGCATATTTAGCAGCCCTGAATTCGAACTCGGGACCTTTACCTTACTTACACCTTAATGAGTGCTGTGTTCAACACCTGAACCGCAGTGGCCACCGAATGCCCCGTAATTTCCCAAAATTAAGCAGAATCTTAATATATTTTGATCGTAGAAGAATCATCTCTCATTTGAATCCTGCGCCATTAAAACTATCTGCCATCATTTTCAGCTTCATCAGTGGTTGGTTCATGATTTTTTACATAGTATATCGACTTTAACTCATTTGATGAAAAGGTTCTAATGACATCATGCTAACCAGATTTTGATGGTTGCCCAACCATTTCAAGTACAGATCATAACATATTTGTATTAATGATTGCGTACAGCAACAAACCGGCGTTTGGTACTGTGGTGTACCACTCATAAAAAACGCGAGAAGAACAAGTTTAACAAGTTTATTGACAAGTTGGACGGGGTTTGAAATCGAGTTTTTCTACTAACGTTTTTCAAGTTCATTAAGTCTTAGGAGTGACCCACGTATAGCCAACTTTAAAACCAACTTTTAGCGAGCTATGGAGTTATAACACTCGGTACATTGAAAATAGAAGTCTGAACTAGAGATCTCAAGTCTGAATATGTCAATAAAATTGAGAAACTGTAAAGCCGCTTCAGGACATCAACAACACTTAAAGGTCAATGCTGATACAATGCACTTGGTCCATCACCAGACGCATACGTTTCAATTGACTTGATTTATGGTTATAGCAGTGTATCATAACTATCACCATATAAGAAGAAATAACGTTATGTAAGTACGTTTAATATTTTTTTTTCTTTTTTCAATGGATACCAGGGACTGGAGGAGTTCCCTCCTGAGTACTGCAGCTGAGCTGTACAGCTTATTGTACTTTATCCCCGGCTCCATATTTTGGGGGAAGGCTCGCAACACAAATGTGAACTTGAGCCCCCGTTGTACCGGTGTTCTTCCATCGAAGAAACTCATTTTTGAAGGGGGTTGGGACCAAATTCAGGGTCGCTGAGATCCGATCCCGCCCCTCCATTGATGAGTGCCGTGTCAATTTCTTTCAATTGCGGCCACCGGTCCCCTTAGGCGTCAGAAAAAGTCCAGAGGCGACGGTGGGGATCGAACCCACAACCGCGGGATCTAATAGCCGAGAGTCTGACGCCTTAAACGTTTAATATTACAAAATTTGTCAGAAATAATAGGTGAACAACAAGGAGAGTGGGAAAAGGGATTTATAAAAAATGCAAGAGAAAAAATCAAGGAATGTTTAGGTGATGACGAGTTTGTGAGAACATTAATTTATTACTAACTATTAACAGTCAAATTTATGCGTTCTTAAATTGTCGTCATATTTGACATTTTCTTTCTACTTTACCGGCACCCCAAATTCAATCGGGAAGTCTGGGGTAGAGCGCGGATTCTCACGGTAGATTTGTTGCTCATCGGCCTAATGAGTGAGTCAGAGAACAAATGGGAAGAAGAGGAGGAGGAGAGGAGTTTGTTTGACAAATGCAAACCGAGTTTAGTTTGTTGCAGGGAGGCCTTCGGGCCCCCTAATTAATGTTGTGTAGCTCACCCTGTTTACCAGTTCATTAGATACAGACTTGTACACAATGTACCATGTAAAAGCGGAAGTCGCGACCCAGGGCTTTCCACGATTCAATAATAGTTTTCAACATTGGATTGTGGAACGGACAAACGACGCCGGTTCTCATCTATTGTTCGATTCGCAATTATGACGTTTTAATTAAAAAAAAAAAATTTCTCAAGGCTCAATCCTTTGCTCATCCGACTAGAAAACTCAGCGATGATATGTACACATATTTGATGATATGTTTAAAATTATAACCGAAATATGTTTCATCAAAAATATAAAATAACAACATAAAAAACTATTATTTTTTTTTAATCTTGAAAACCGGCTATTGCAGTTTTTTGACAGTGGAATTCTTAAACGGCCTAAATCTAAAACATATAATTAGACTCGCTCTGGTTTCTATGCTAACAGATACTATTTGACGCCTGTTCTAGCCTTCAATATACTATTTCTTATTATTCAGGAAGAGAAAAGTTGATATTTAATACTAACTTTTTGATTATTTTTATTAGCTTATTCTTAATTATATAACTACGCAATTAATTATACACAATTTTTTCGAAATTAAAAATTTGTGTTACAGGCGGGATGCGAACCCACGACTTTCGGCTAAATACACCGCTGCTCTACCACTTGAACTACCGTGATTTCGATCGCCCATGCCACAAAATTACGGTGTATTTAGCCAAAAGTCGTGCGTTCAAATCCCGCCCGTGGCACAAATTTTTCATTTCGAAAAAATTGTGTATAATTAATTGAGTAAATGATATTTAATATTATAAATGTGTTGTGATTAGTGACCGTTAATCGATAATTACTCAGAGATCGTGAGATGCGGTCTGGCACTCTCAACAGGACACGCAAGAATGGCACAATTACACATAAGACAAACACTTTGAGCCCTGAAGATGATCTCAATAAAGATCGAAACATTGGCACGATAAAGAAAATGTTTTTCTGAAACCTACATCACACCAGACCGCATCTCACGATCTCTGAGTAATTATCGATTAACGGTCACTAATCACAACACATTTATAATATTAAATATCAATTACTCAATTAATTATACACATTTTTTAATAATTAACAGAAATAAAGTACATTTATATTGCCTAAACTATTAATCTATCCATAGTTTCAACATCTTTGTCCAAGCACTATCCATTTATACAGCCTAATGGTTTTTTTTTTTTTTTTTTTTTTTTTGAGAGAGAGAGAGAGAGTTCGCAACAGCATAGCATATAAACCCTCGGGGTGCCGGTGTTTTTGAAAACAAAAGCCGATCTGTAAGTATGTCGGGTTCGAATGCAGGGCCGCTGGATTCGAACCCGGGA